TCGGACCGAGGGGGGCGCGACAAAAATTTTTTCCAAATGAAGGTGCGTGGCGTTAGCCACGCACTCCGAAAGAATTTTTGGGGTGCTTCTCTAAATTTTTGCGGGTCCCCAACCCCTAAAATCTGAAAAAATTTACATAAATAAACAAGTCGTTTGCACATTTTTTAAACCCATATAGGTAAGTTTCAAAAATTTCGCGACCCATTCTCGGGGGGGGGGCGCCCCCCCCCCCGCCCCCCTCGGTCCGCCACTGCTTGCCGCACTCAGTTTATAAGCATTTTCTTCCCTCGAAACCAGGCTCTATGTGCTTTTCTGATTTTGGGGGCAGAAGTAGGATTCAAAAAGGTAAAGGCGGGCTAAAGTGAATTTATAACAACTTTAGGTAAATTTACCGCCTTCGTCATTTCCGAGTGTGATTATAGAATTCTCAGCATGCTCACTTACCCCCGGATTAGTGCCATCTGAGCCTCGTAGCTTCAGCTTTGAAAAAAGATGAAATCAATAAAAGTAATGGAAATTCTCAAAAACTATCTTTGCAGTGAGCGTGTTCACATACAACTTTGTGCAATGTCAGCCGTGTAGCTCTAATTTTACAAAGAATAGAAAAATCGACAAAAATAATAGGTTCTTCTAAGAACACTTATTACAATCCTAATCGGCATGCTCGCTTTCTCCCATGTGCCAAATTCCAGTTCCTGGCTTAAACTTTGCAAAAAATCGATAAAGCCAGTGAACGTAAGTGACAAGTTGTAAAATAAGAATGTGCTCGTGAGCAACATGCTCAATTACCTGCCTGTACCAATCCCCAAGCCATAGCTCAAACATTGCAAAAAGTCAGTTAAACCAATAGAAGTAAGGAGTATTTTCTGAAATGTTATGATATTTGTAATCAGCATGTTCCCTTACCCCCGTGTGCCACCTCCAGTCACGTAGTTCAAAATCTGCAGAAAAATCGATAGAATGATAAAAGTAATGGGTATTTATGAAAATGGTTATCATATTTGTAATCAGCATGCTCGATTACCCCCGCGTGCCAAACCCCAGCCCCGTAGCTTGAACCATGCAGAAAAATCGATAAAATGATAAAAATAACTGATAATTCTAAAAGCTATATTGTATTCGTAATCAGCATGTTCGCTTGTCCTCCTGTGCCAAACCCCAGCCCCGTAGCTTGAACTTTGCCAAAAAATCGATAAAATGATAAAAATAAGTGATAATTCTAAAAACCAGTATTGTATTCGTAATCAGCATGTTCGCTTACCCTCTCGTGCCAACTCCCAACCCCGTAGTCCAAAATTTGCAAACAAATCGATAAAATGATAAAAGTAATGGGTATTTATGAAAATGGTTATCATACTCGTAATCAGCATGCTCGATTACCCCCGCGTGCCAAACCCCAGCCCCGTAGCTTGAACCATGCAGAAAAATCGATAAAATGATAAAAATAACTGATAATTCTAAAAGCTATATTGTATTCGTAATCAGCATGTTCGCTTGTCCTCCTGTGCCAACTCCCAGCCCCGTAGCTTGAACTTTGCCAAAAAATCGATAAAATGATGAAAATAACTGATAATTCTAAAAACCAGTATTGTATTTGTAATCAGCATGTTCGCTTACCCTCTCGTGCCAACTCCCAACCCCGTAGTCCAGAATTTGCAAACAAATCGATAAAATGATAAAAGTAATGGACATTTTTGAAAATGGTTATCATATTCGCAATCAGCATGCTCGATTACCCCCGTGTGCCAACTCCTAGCTCCGTAGCTTGAACTTTGCAAAAAATCGATAAAATGATAAAAATAACTGATAATTCTAAAAACTAATACTGTATTCGTAATCAGCATGCTCGATTACCCCCGTGTGCCAACTCCTAGCTCCGTAGCTTGAACTTTGCAAAAAAATCGATAAAATGATAAAAATAACTGATAATTCTAAAAACCAGTATTGTATTCGTAATCAGCATGTTCGCTTACCCTCTCGTGCCAACTCCCAACCCCGTAGTCCAGAATTTGCAAACAAATCGATAAAATGATAAAAGTAATGGACATTTTTGAAAATGGTTATCATATTCGCAATCAGCATGCTCGATTACCCCCGTGTGCCAACTCCCAGCCCCGTAGCTTGAACTTTGCCAAAAAATCGATAAAATGATAAAAGTATTGGCCTTTATCGAAAATGGTTATCATATTCGCAATCAGCATGCTCGATTACCCCCGTGTGCCAACTCCTAGCTCCGTAGCTTGAACTTTGCAAAAAATCGATAAAATGATAAAAATAACTGATAATTCTAAAAACTAATACTGTATTCGTAATCAGCATGCTCGATACCCCCGTGTGCCAACTCCTAGCTCCGTAGCTTGAACTTTGCAAAAAAAAAATCGATAAAATGATAAAAATAACTGATAATTCTAAAAACTAATACTGTATTCGTAATCAGCATGCTCGATTACCCCCGTGGGCCAACTCCTAGCTCCGTAGCTTGAACTTTGCAAAAAAATCGATAAAATGATAAAAATAACTGATAATTCTAAAAACTAATACTGTATTCGTAATCAGCATGCTCGATTACCCCCGTGTGCCAACTCCTAGCTCCGTAGCTTGAACTTTGCAAAAAAAAAATCGATAAAATGATAAAAATAACTGATAATTCTAAAAACTAATACTGTATTCGTAATCAGCATGCTCGATTACCCCCGTGGGCCAACTCCTAGCTCCGTAGCTTGAACTTTGCAAAAAAATCGATAAAATGATAAAAATAACTGATAATTCTAAAAACTAATACTGTATTCGTAATCAGCATGCTCGATTACCCCCGTGTGCCAACTCCCAGCTCCGTAGCTTGAACTTTGCAAGAAAAATCGATAAAATGATAAAAATAACTGATAATTCTAAAAACCAGTATTGTATTCGTAATCAGCATGTTCGCTTACCCTCTCGTGCCAACCCCCAACCCCGTAGTCCAAAATTTGCAAACAAATCGATAAAATGATAAAAGTAATGGGCATTTTTGAAAATAGTTATCATATTCGTAATCAGCATGCTCGATTACCCCCGTGTGCCAACTCCCAGCCCCGTAGCTTGAACTTTGCCAAAAAATCGATAAAATGATAAAAGTATTGGCCTTTATCGAAAATGGTTATCATATTCGTAATCAGCATGTTCGATTACCCCACTGTGCCAACTTCCAGCCCCGTAGTTCAAAATTTACAAATAATCGATAAATTTGGTAGAAGTAATAACAAGCTTCCATGCTGGAAAATGACAAACACGAAAACACCATCGAGGACCTACACACAGCATCAACAAGAATGCTTATCCACCAGCGTACAGACAAGCCACCAGTGTACAGACAAAATCCCATTCGGTTTTATATATATAGAAGGATAATAAGTTAATCCACCTTTCGTGTAAGCAATAGCAGTAGAGCTCATTTCATTTTCGCGGCAGACAGGATGCGGTGATCCGAGGAGTACTATGTAGCAGGTGAGCTCATGCTGTAGCGGAGTGCTTGCAACTCATTATCAAACTGATGAAAGGAGGGAGCGACTGCCAGTGATGGATTTCGATGGACGACAAGATGTTGAGCTGAAATAGCCGATGGACGACAAGATGTTGAGCCGAAAAAAAGGTGGGGGGGGGGGGGGGGGGAGTCTTGGAGGAAAGGACGATATCGTTATGCAAAGTCTAAAATTCGCATTCTTCTGACCGGACTTCACTATAACATTAAAGGCACCGTCTACCCTAAATTGAGGGTGTTGAGCTTTTGGCAGCGTATTATAGCAGGGCCCCCTATCAAGCCAATATCCAAGTCGCGGCGCGAAATGTCGCTTCGGAAGTGGGAAAATCGCTCCGGAATAACGAAGATGTGCAAGGACCCCCATCCATGCCCGCCCCTCCCCATCCATGCCCGCCCCTCCCCATCCATGCCCGCCCATTTGTGTGCGCCCATCCAATCACCGTTTCGGAAAGCCGACCTGCGGGTTCTCCGGAACGGGAATTGTCGCGGTTTTTGCAGATTCTCGACTTCATATTCGGAATCAGGGACATGAGAAGGCCCTGAAACGACGTAAACCTGGAAGTCGAGAATCTGGGTGGACGGTGCCTTTAAGGCAGCGAGTAAGATCAGGGTTGCCGTTGCCATTCGAGTCGTATAGGAAAGTCTGAAGCATAGAGGTAGAAAAGGATTAGGCTCTTCACTACCCACAGCATGCGCCAAATGCACTCTTCTTCATAGCCGAAAATGCTAGTGAATGCGTGCGAGCCTATTACAGCGACCTGCGGGGAGCAGCCGTACCAAGTCAGTGCTTTCATTCTCCTGGAACATTTGTGTACTAGCTTACCGGCCGCTAGGGTAGAGAGCTTGGTTGGCATCGAATGGTGTGGTATGGTCATACCACTACGCCAATCGTCCCATTCTGGAGCATATTTTCAGTAATTAAGTTTAGTGGACAAAATGGTCTTCCATAAAGCTACAAATCAAACCCAAAGCTGCAAGTGATCAATGTCGGAGCGTGTAGTTCGATTATTTCTCCCTTGCTCTTTACTAGGGAAGCCGAATTTCAAGCGAAATAATTTGGGAAAGGTTAGGAAGCTCTCCCATGCAGGTAATGTGCTCGCAATGGAGTATAGCAGGAAATTGGAGGAGCAATATTGTTTAAAAGATGGCTGATACCCATATCAAGAAGGCTGAATTAATGGAGGTAGGAAATCAAAGAATTGAGTGTTTTGATGATGAATCATTCAAGAAAGGACGTGATACACAACGCGATACGCAGAAGGAAGGAAGATAACAGTGAATGCGGCACGGCATTTCAGACAAACGGAAGACCTTAGACGTTTCGGTGAGATTTGCTGTCTCAAAAGAATTATTAGGCAGAACTCGTACTCAAAATAGAGGACAAGAATGATTATCATAACAGGGATAGCAAAACTGACTTAAGCATACAAATGCGATTGTAAATGGGGGACAAAGACTGTTAAAAAATTAGCAAAAAGCTTACGTTGTTATATTTTCTTCTGATACTGATCTCTGCGCTCGTAGGACAGAAGAGGCGACACTGTTTGATGCTACCTCTGATTCAACCTAGACACAACAGTGTATCATCTTTAATTCAAAAGAGATAAAAAGCAAACCAACGTTAAGCGGGGCAAGTTTTCCATCGTCATCGTTATTTTCGCCGATCGTCGACATCATTTGCATGCCGGACATGGCTACCGGTGTCATTTCTGTTATCTGAAAAAGTAACCACCTTTTCCACTTTGTTATTCCTCTTCTATCTGATATTTCTATTAATTATCTTAATGTGGTATGCTATTTCATAAAAATAATACTATTTATCCACGCAAATTACAGAAACAAATTTGATTTGAGAAGCATGTAGAAAAACCCACAAGATTGTTCTTTGGCTTCTTCTGAAACATCAATGTGTTCAGCTGCAGATAATGATCAGGGACTGCTGGAAGAGAAAAACTTGACAAACGTCTGACGTCACAAAACTCATAAAGAAACGAACTGCTTGGATTTTGGAAATCGACCATAACGCTTTCTTGTCGCTTGATTTTGTCGCGAATGCTTGAAAGTGGATCTTTGTGGAGGTAACCATCCTGAAGAATTTGAAAAGTTGGTTTGAGCTAAGAATTTTGCCAAGTAATTCAGTAAAATAAGTATTTTACCTTTGCGAGCACAAAGGCCAGAAGACCAAGTGCCACAATAGCCATAACCATTGAGAACAGCGCTAATACAACGTTCAACGTTACTGCGGATAGTAGGTCAGGAAGCCGCATTTCCTATAAACTAGTTCAATGAATTGATTATCAGACAGCGGAGACATTTGAAGTGGAAAAGGAAGAGAGAGAGAAAAGGATGTTTGAGGTTGTATTGTTCAACAAAAATGTGATTGTTCTACGTATGGCTGTTCAGCACCACTTTGAATTCAGCAGCTAGTACGAACAAACTTCGACTTTTTATGAAGGAGGAAAAAAAGTAATTTCTTGAAATAGCCTCAAGAAGCAGAAGCTTAGTCGAGCAACTGTTCACCAACATATCTAGTGCAAATAATGACAGGTCCAATGTTGTCCTTTGCAGATACATACTCCATCATAGTCCGGAAAATCAGGACAAATGTTGCGAAGCACTCTTGCAACGATAGAGAACGATGTTAGAAGAAAGTGTTCCATCAACTTTGGTTCCTCTGGAGCTGGAGAAAAGAAAAAGATGGAAAGAAGAAAATGTAGCTCAAGATATTCTGGAGAATTTTTGTAGAAACTTTACATAGTGCTGTTGTAAACTGTGTTCCCTAAACAGGATCATATAGTAAATGCAAAACTTGCGCTTTGCGACTGCACAAGAATGATGTCAGAGAAAAACAAAATTGTATTGATAGTTTCCATGTTTCCTCCTTTCTCAACCTCGGCTATGTGAGAATTTGTGATTAGTAAGTGAGTATGCTTACACTAGGTTAGTATATTTTATTTTAGTATCCCACCACTACTAACAATACAATCTACTAATATCGTGTTGGCATACTCACCTAATCACAGCTGTATCAATAGTGTTCCATTACTATTTTTGATACCCCCTTATGGTTATGTAGTGCGAAAGTATGGTGGGAAGAGCAGGCGCGAAAAACCAAGAGCTTTATCAGAACTGGTATCAACATTAACCAAAAATTATCTCATATCACTTTTTGTTTTTTTTCAAGAAATCAATAGAATATCGAATGATTAGCTTGTGGTTTTGATGGGGAAATTGAAAGGTGAACCAAATGATTGTGAAACGAAGTACATCCTTCCAATAGTTAGTTGTAGTCGAAAAAATGAAGTGATGAAGGATTCAGCAAATCACAATGTTCACGAGTTCACCTCTATTAAGTGGAGCACTAAGGGCCTAATCAGCGAAATAAAGCTCAAAAAGCTATTCAGACGACTCCTCACAAAACGTTCTCCATTTAAAGGCTGGACTATAATCATCGTTAAGCGAAAGGGCGAAGAAATGATCGCAAAAGCATATGAATCACTTCGCCCGTTAAGGTCACGTTTTTGGAACTAAGTCGTTAGAAAATTAGGACTTGGACCGAATGTCGCCAGGAAGAGGACATTTTACCCGAACTGGATCTATATGATGCACTTACAGGTAGTAGGGTGATTATCCAAATTGTAATGACCAAAAATCTGTTGGACGACCGAGTTTGAAAGACTCTATTTTTAGATGTTAAGAGAATAGATATGATCAGATCTCTAAGGTAATAAGAGTTACTAAATCTAGTTAGTTATACCCTTCAATGCTCGTTTCTTGCATTTGAGAGACCAGCCATCCAAACAACTGTTTTGATAGTAATAAATGTTTTGGCTTATACTTTTTAACATATTCTTTTATTACATGAGTGCCTTATCGGGCTTGAACGAAATGACTGGGGTAGGGGAACGAACTCCGTCAGTTTGAACCGCCTGCGCGGACTTTGGTCCTGCGACGATATGCAACAGCATTGCAAAAGGATCAGTTGCCGGCGAAGGCGGGCTCAAACTGGCGGAGTTCGTTCCCCTACCCAAGTGACTGTCCGAAGCGAAATACTCTTTACTATTCCGAAAACATCAAGTGAACTAGTTCCCAATCTAGCCAAAATAACAAATCTGCTCACGATTTATCGAAGGAGTAGAGGACAAGATTGTGCACACAATCTTCTCTTGAAAAATGATTTGAGAGAGTGAATGTTTCTTGAATCTTTCTAGAGCATGAGACTCGGATGAAACTGTGCACTGCAGAGTTGAGTTAGATCGCTTCACTATATTTTTTCCCTGTATGTTCATTAATATCAGGTAGCGAAGTTGTTTGCACCATTTCTAAAAATTCGCAACTTCTTTCCATTACAACGATTTTGCTCTGCTGGGATCCTACTGAAAATCGTAACTTATTCACTGTCGTCAAAGGAGACCTCCATGCAGTCGAAGTCAAGTGTGATCTCATTCATTCACCTCTATAATTCAATCGATTCATGACGTAATTATTCTTTTATGTTTGTTGATAAACATCTAGAGTTGAATAGAGAGTCTAGGCTGTCTCTGTCTAAGGCTTTGGCCATACTTTATCCATGTTACCCGTGCGGTGTTACCATTGTTACTCGTTTTACTCGTGTTACGTTAACCGTGCTACTCCTGCTACTGGTGTTACCCGTGTTACCGCTTTTATTGCTGTTGAATAGTGAAACGATCACAACGGTCTCATTTTGAAACGCAATATCGCTGACTGGTGAGTAACACGAGTAACACTAATAACATTAGTAACACGAGTAACTCGTGTAACACTGTTAACACTGGTCACGAGTAACACTAGTAACACTAGAAACCCGGTAACACGGGTAACAGGGGTAAAGTATGGTCAAGCCTAAGGGACCTCTTTTCGACGACTCGTTCAAACTATTCCCGATAGCGTACTGTTTGTGCTCTGGTGATCCTCCCTCCCATGTCTAGCGGTATTTACACCCTGCTGAGAGATCAAATCGGTCTCTCTTTCCCCCACATTAAAGATTGGTAGATCGGTAATTGGCGCGCCATCTGATAGAAAAGAATCTATTTGTTTATGCTATTGAATCTTGCAGCAATGTGCTTATCTGTTGAACGTTATTTGCAACGCGTTCACGCACAGCTTTTTCTAGAGTCTTTTTCCCATCTTTTTTGAATTTAAGAATAGAGTGAGAACTCCAAGTTCATCTTGCAATTAGCAAGTCATTTTGTGTAATCAAAAGTTTAGAGAAAGTTTCCAAGAACAAAATAAAGGATATCAGTGAGAGATGGGGTAGAACATCATAAGCAATCTATAGCTATTGTGGGAATAGATTCACTCAAAACACGGAACTCCTCCAGGATGATGTCTAGACAGATACAGCCAAGCTGGCCACACATATATCAAGGCCTTCTTCCCAATTTAGGAAACAAATGGAATCGAAAGCAGCTCCATGAATGAGAACGGAAGCGCAAGCTTATTCATAGGCATATCGATGGCTATTGTTGAGTACGACGATTGTCTGTTGAGCGCGTTTCGAACATAGGCGCCGTGCTAGTTTTCGAATGGCTCAACTTTTTCCTGAACACCGTTTCAAGTTTCTCCTCGCGGCCACGCTTGGATAGATCTGTAATAGCCCCCGGATGTATGTCAAGGAGCCTCGCCGACAAAAGGAATAGTTTCAGGATTTGCTCTTAGTGAAAGAAACCAATCCTTATCTTGAAACTCCCTTTTTCCCATGGTTAAGTGAAGATATTAGGTTGGTCCGAAAGTTCTGTCCCAGCATTTTCAAAAAATCATAACTTCCTCTGAACAAGATATTTCTGCATGATTGAAACTTTTTTGGAAAGAGCAATTCATGCACTTTCTAAAACTGCCTTGGCTGCTATCTACTAAGCTCTGAATGCAGAGATAAAATTAAGAAAAGGAAATCACTTCAAGTTCGGAATTTTTGAGCGGACCCGTTAAAAAATCTAAAACTGTGCCATAAAATTCAAGACAGCCATTATCCTAGACTTTTTGAGCCCCTCTTTTTAGCTGAGCAAAAGTTGTGCTGTCGAGCTATTATTCTGAAAGTTATGATTTTTTGAAGAAAATGTCAGAAAACTAATTTTCTTAAGAAACTGATTTTTTGGCCTTTTCTCTTGAGAATCAGAACTTTTCTAAGAAGAGCTAAAACAGCGCGAATTTTGCTCATATAGAAAGAGAGGATCAGAAAACCTAGGTTACTGGCTGTCTTGGATTTTATGGCACAGATTTAGATTTTTTAACGGGTTTGCTCAAAAATTCCGAAATTGAAGTGATTTTCTTTTTCCAATTTTATCTCTGCACTGCGAACTTAATAGATAGCAGCCAAGGTAGTTTTAGAAGGTGCATGAATTGCTCTTTCCAAAAAGGTTTTAGTCATGAGGAAACATCATGTTGGGAGGAAGTTATGATTTTTTGAAAATGGTGGGACAGAACTTTCGGACCAACCTAATAATTCTAATCGTTCTCAGAAGAATCCAAAAAGGGTGAAATCAGGTCGTAACATAAGGTTTCTTACACTTGAAGAAAAAAAGTCCATAGCTTTTTTTTTCTCGACTTAAAGTTTATTTGATGGTTGTATCTTCTTATATTAGGTCGTTCCGAAAGTAATGTCGTTTTTTTTTTTCAAACGCACGCCACATCTCGTGGAACAAAGATGTGTAAGAGATTCTGATAGCATTTGATGCAGCATTTCATTCTCTTTCTAACGGTTATATAATCTCTGCACAAAATCCAATAACCATTCGAAAAATTATCAAAATTTGCGACCCATGCTTTTTGAGAAGGCCGAGCTTCAGAATTTTTCTAAATTTTTATAGCAACCCTAGGAAGTAATGGATGGATAGAGCAAACCCTAACAGCACAACTTTTTTCTACTTTCCAGAACTCGTCATAATTTGTGCATAGATTTTTTGATGGAACCACCAAATTTTAGCAGGCTCATTTCAGACACAAATGCATCAAACACCAATAAATCTTCGGATTTTAAAACTTTTGAAGATGGATTATGGTTTGACACTAATTTTACAAAGCAAATGAGCATTCACCGCTCCAGATTAACAACTTTCGAAAATTCTGGGTCAGCCTGGGGCGACTTGTAAAATCTGAATTATGATGATTTTATCCCGGAAAACTTGATGAATCGGAAGCAAAAAACAGCTGGTAGAAAGACGAGAAGAAGCTGCGTCGAATGACACTTAGATAGAGCAAACTCTATAGGAGACAGAGTAATTTTTTTCTTCTCCCTAGCTTGCTTCTTAGGGTTTCTGGAATCAATTTTTTAATGCTATCAAATTCCATATTTGGCCAACTCAAACCCGAGTTGATTGACGGTTGTTGTTCTGTGAGGTTTGAGTTGGCCAAATATGGAATTTGATAGCATTAAAAAATTGATTCCAGAAACCCTAAGAAGCAAGCTAGGGAAAAGAAAAAAATTACTCTGTCTCCTATAGAGTTTGCTCTATCTATGTGTCGCTTGTGCTTCTTCGGAGAATAGGTATAAAAATTTGAAAAAAATAGCCGAACTTGACTATGGCAAAAAGCATGGGTCGCAAATTTGGTGATTTTTCGAGAGCTCGATGAATATTATGCAATGATTTTACAACAGTTAGAAAGAGGACGAATTGCTGCATCGAATGCTTACAAGATCTCTAGAAAAGCTTGATTCCATGGAAGGTGGCGTTCATGTGAAAAAAAGCGACATTACTTTCGAAACGACCTAATATATTGACGTCACACATGAAAATCCAATTTTTGAATTTTTTGAAATATTTTTGAATTATTTCTGCAAATTTACAACTTCCGTTTATGAATAGCCTACACTTCCAAACAGCCGTCGTATTAGAACTAAAGTTCCCAGGAATCCACAAAAAATGTGAAAGCATAAACAATAAGAATGAAAGAATTTTGAAGGAACAAGAAAAAAAATGATGCAAGTACAAAACCGCCTGTATCTTGTCATGTGTACTTGTGAAGGTGGAAATGATGCAATAGATAGTCCTTTGTCTATTTCTCATATATGTCAGATATTAGGCCTTGCTAAAGTTTCTGGAGTTTTTTAGAGGAAGGTGAGAAAATGTCACAAAGCTTATATTACGACCTGATAGAACTATGTATCTACATTTATATAAACTCGTTAATTTGAGATTGGTCCATAGGTTTCGCAAAAATCATTCTAAAAAATCTAATTTTTAATCTAGAACAGATCCTTGTGTAAGAAATATCGCGCTTTCTTGATATGGATATGAAATCCACACTGCTTAGCATGGATATGGGCTGATAAGGAGTGAAAAATTTTTCTAACATTAGTTCCGGCCGCTAAATATGCTAAAATGAATAACAAAATCTATCTTTACTCTTCTTGTGGTTCTATGATTTATGCAGGAATTGAGTCACGAAGATCGGATAATGACACTAATGATGATTTTCAAGTTTTTGGTCGTCTCTAATCCTCTTTCTTACTAATCTTTTATGTGCAAGTGGATATGTTATATGTCATAAAAAGTTACGAAATATGAACTGAAATGTGTTGGGCGTTTTCAAAATGAATTTTTCTATATATTGATGCAAGATTTATGGTCAAAATACTTGCACAAACAAAATTTTTTACTTGCATCTAGGTACTAGATTTGAGAGCTCACCCGTTGTCGCTAAAATTGTTTTGCACATAACCGAATAAAAATTTTCAAGCTTTCTGTTGCGAGTAAAACTTTCTACTTGTGATGGCTTATACAAATTGCAATAAAGCGCAAACACAACATTTGAATTTTAAAATCAACATTGGACGAAAGATGAAACCTGTTGTATGTGCATACACTAGCTTCGTTATGATCAATTCAGCCCAATTTTTTGTTCCGTGCCTAAAAAAAACCCGCACTCTAAGGAAACGAGTTTTAGAAAAAGAAAAACATCATATGCGCTGCAGTCGCCAAAAGATGCAAAATCTCGCCTTTTTCTTTTGACGGATTGTCTGATAAAAAAATAGCAGTAATAAGAAAAATTTTTTTCAATTGAAATGAAAAACTCACCAGGAAAATATATAATTTTAAAATAATTATTGCAAGTCATAGCGTTTACCAGCGCAAAAAAATCTATCTGCTCAACAAGGTTTAGAGAGGCCATATTTATTTCATAACTTAACAAATCAGGATTTATTT